TTTTATGTGTCAACTTGACTGGCCATGAAGTGCTCGAGTTAAACATTATTTCTAGGTTGCCTGTGAGGATGTGTCCAGATGAGATTAGCATTTGAATCTGTGGACTCAGTAAAGTGAATTTCTCTCCCCAGTGTGGTGGGCTCATCCAATCTGTTGAGGGCCCAGTAGAACAAAAGGTGAAGGGAGGAGGAATTTGCACCTCTTCTCCTGCCTCTCTGCATGAGCTGGGACATCTCACCTCATTACCTCCTGCCCTTGGACTAAAATTCACACCATCAGCTCTAACGGGTTTTTTTCTGGCTGTGCCATGAGGCATGAGGCATGTAGGTTCCCCAACCAGGGATCAAACCCGTGCCCCCTGCAGTGGAAGTGCGGAGTCTGTACCACTGGACCACCAGGGAAGTCCCAGCTCTTAGGTTCTTAGGTCTTCGGACTTGAACTACATTATACCGCTGACTTTCTTGGGTCTTCAGTTTACATACGGCAGATTATGGGATTTCTCAGCCTCCATAACTGTGTGAGCTAATTCCTTATGATAAACATAAATAAGTAAATACACACATATATACATTGCTATGAATACATTTGTGATATATATATATATCTTACTGGTCCTACCAGTTCTGTTTCTCTTAGGGTAGAACCCTAATACTCTATGTTAAAAATTACTATTAACCTCAATAAAAGTTGTCAGTGTGAACTTTAAAAAATAAAACAATTCTTTTCATTACTAGTTTTAGCTTTGCCCTACCCAGTTGTAAAAATTCCTCCTTTTTATATAACAAATTTCCACAAATACACAGATTTCCTTTTAGATGTTCTATTCTATTCCATTAGACTATTTGTTTATTCCTATACCAACATCATACTACATTTATTATTATAATGTAAAAATAATATAATTAATAATATTTTGATATGTGGTCTGGCTAGCCTCCATTCCTGTACTTTTTTTTTTTTTAAATTGCAAATACTCCTTTTTATTTTTTATTTATTTATTTTTTTGCGGTACTCTGGCCTCTCACTGTTGTGGCCTCTCCCGTTGCGGAACACAGGCTCCGGACGCTCAGGCTCAGCAGCCATGGCTCACGGGCCTAGCCGCTCCGCGGCATGTGGGATCTTCCCGGACCGGGGCACGAACCCGTGTCCCCTGTATCAGCAGGCGGACTCTCAACCAATGCGCCACCAGGGAAGCCCCATTCTTGTACTTTTAAAGAATGATCTTGATTCCTCTGCAACGTTTATACTAATATAGGAACTGTAGGATCACTTTGCCAAGGTGTTTTAAAAAATAATGTTGGGGATTTTATTGCAGTTATATTGAATTTATAAATGATTTTTTAAAGAGTTGCAATCTTTACCTTATTGAGTCTTTCCAAACATAAACATTATTTCTCCATTTATTCAGTTCTCCTTTCAGACCTTCAATAAAATTTTTTTTTAATCCATAAAGTTCTGGCATAATTTTTATTTTTTTAATTAAAAAAATTTTTTTTAATATTTATTTATTTATGCTGCGCCAGGTCTTAGTTTCAGCACGTGGGATCTTTTAGTTGTGGCACATGGGCCTCTTAGTTGCGGCATGCATGCAGGATCTAGTTCCCTGACCAGGGATCAAACCTGGGCTCCCTGCATTGGGAGCGCAGAGTCTTACCCATTAGACCACCAGGGAAGTCCCTCTGGCATAATTTTTAGGTTTGTTCCTAGGCATATTGTAAGGTTTGTTTCTTTGATTATTTATGTCTACTTTTATTATTTCTGACTGATTATGGGTAATGTGGAGAAATGCTGTAGAATCTTGTATAGACCTTATACCCAGCAACTCTGATGAAACTTATTTCATTCACTGTATTGAATGTCTTCAATTGTTATGTAGGAAATGATACCGTCTGCAAATAATGACAATAATCTTTCTTTTCATTCTTACATATTTTACTCCTTTACTCATTGCATAGTTTTGTATATCTCATACACTGCTGAAAAATAGTGGTGACTCTTATTCTGTTTATGACTTTAATGACAATACCTCTGAAAATTCAACTTAATATAGGTTTTGCTACAAAGTTTCAGAGAGGTTTGTTTTCTTTTCTTTTCTTATGTATTAATTTCTATCCTTTCATTTCCATTCTTAATTTTAATAAAGAATTCACATTTCACTTTTAGGAGAGCTTTTTAAACCCTCATGAATTCTAATGTCTAACACTCTATTTAAGATGTTCCCAACTTTGCTCAGAGAAGACAAAATTGGTACATAATTATTTTTTCTTCTACAGGCCAGACCATTTGGCTGTAGTATCAAATTTTTACTAACATCAGCAAATTTGTTATTTATGGCTACGTAACAAATTGTACCAAAGCTTAGCAATTAAAACCATAAACATCATCTCACCGTCTGAGGGTTACTGTTCATTGAGATTCTGATATGTCTTCATAATAGAAATAGATAGAAGTCATGAATATATGTTGACATGGTTGAAATATAGAAATCTTCATAAATACCCAAGAAAACTATGTGGAACCCTTCCCTGAAAGGTCACATAATTAATGTACATCTGTGCATTTTGTAAACCATAAATAATTACCTTCCATTTTGTAAACCATTGAAATCACATTTCTCAGATCATTATATCAGAAGAACAAAAAATCTGAATGCTTGTAACTTGTATTTTGATTGAGGATTATAGAGTGGATTTGGGAAGGCTTCATTTAGACTCTGTGTGAACTTACTATATGTTAATTAATAAAACTGAGTGGTTTTTATTTTTTCTATTTTTTGGCATGCAGGATCTTAATTCCCCGACCAGGGGTCGAACCCGTGCCCCCGGCAGTGGGAGCACGGAGTCTTAACCACTGGACCACCAGGAAAGTTCCCCCAAACTGGGTGGTTTTTAATGTGTAAAACTTGATGTGTAATTGATGAAGTGTTATTCCACCACCAACATTAACATTAACGAGCATTGTCATCTCCCACCTTATTTAAGATTGTAGATAAACGATGATAACAATGAAGTCTTTGGTAACAGAAAACAAAAATCCAGGTACAGCTTGGCCTGGTGGTTCTGGCCTGGGGTCTCTCACAGGTTATAATCAAGCTGTTTGCCAGGACAAGACTAGACTGAGACTGAAAAATCTACTTCCAAGTCTCTCACGTGATCGTTGGAGGGCCTCAGCTCCACACAGGCTGTTGGCCAGAGGCATTAGTTCCTCACCCTGGGGGCCACTCCACAAAAGGCTGAGTGTCCTCACAACATAGCAGCTGAGTTCTGCTTGAGCAAATGATCGGGGAGAGCACAACCTCCCCAAATGGAAGCTAATCTCTTTTAATGATCTAATTTCATAAGGACATAAAGATCTGTCACTCTGCAATATTTTATTGGTCACACAGACCAACTTTGCAAAAAGGTGGGAGGGGACCGTGCAAGGGTGTGAACACCAAGAGATGAGGATGATTGGGAGTCAACTTGGAGGGTGGCTAAAATGAATAAAATAAAATGAATAAAATTAAAATGAATTGAATGGCTCATAAAATGAATTAAACAGCTCTTCCCCTTTTCCCTCACCTCTGAAATGGTTAACTTAATACACCCAGTTGTTACTCTTGGAATATTGGTTGAAATACTATGGAATATTTTCTTAGACCAGTGACATTTTCAGGAAAAGAATGAATTACAATTTTATTTTGGCTTTTTTTTTTTTTTTTTTTTTTTTTGCAGTACGCAGGTCTCTCACTGTTGTGGCCTCTCCCGTTGCGGAGCACAGGCTCTGGACGCGCAGGCTCAGCGGCCATGGCTCATGGGCCCAGCCGCTCCGCGGCGTGTGGGATCCTCCCGAACCCGGAACACGAACCCGCGTCCCCTGCATCGGCAGGCGGACCCTCAACCACTGCGCCACCAGAGAAGCCCTATTTTGTCTTTTTTTTAATCGTTAATCTAATTAAGTTCTCTGTTTCCTTTAGAATCCATAGAGCAAAGTTCCCTACTTGGCTCTAGCTCTCGGAATTCCGGTTCTTGTTACTCTTTCCACGCCACTGAGTCAAGAACAATATCACTGTCCTGTGGTTCTGGCCAAGAACATGTCATCAAAATGACCTACCATGACAATACTCCTAGTGTTGGGAAAGGCAGTCTCATGCATGCATCCCCCACTACAAAAGAATGGGCCTTGGACCTGGAATACTTACTTACCAAGACATAAGGAGCCCATACAACCTGTGCCAGGCTTATTGTCATGAGTGGAAATATCTTTCCCTGTTTTTAGCTCAACGCATGCTCCTTTGTTTTGTGTGTGTGTCCTCTGGCATCTGGTTAACCCCACTGCTGTATCTGCCCTCAGTGGGGAAGGGATGGGGTCCTTCTACCGTGTCATGAGAGGAGTGCCTACATGTAAATTGCCCGGTATCAGGTGCCAGGAGAGACTCCCTAGCCATGGGAAATCGAAGCCCGCTATAGAAGCATCTTGTGTAAGTGAAGCATTGTTTCATCCATGCTGTGCTTTCCTTGGAGACTCTGATACCAGCATACAATGGACAGACATATGTGTTTGGAGTCCTCCCTTGGGACTGATAATCGGGTACACGTTGTTCTGCTCAACACTTATTTTAAGATAGAAGCAATAGTGTCTTGGGAGAGAAGAGAAATGAAAGAGGCTCATGATCACCACAGAAGGAAAGTATCCACCATTTTCTGAGAACCTGCTATGGCCCTGTAACATTGCTCTTCATTTTGCATTGGATACCCCAATGCTCCAAACACCAAACACTGTGACAAGTTGATTTTTATCATCACTTTGCAGGGCAAGAGATTAAGATGTAGGACATAAAGTCATTTGTCCCAAACCACAGAGCCAAGGCTTTTCAGACTCATGATGTAAATTCTGGTCTGCCCAGCCCCTAAGCCTCTTCCTTCCACTCCATATCTGTAAGAGGGAGGCCTCTTATTCAGACATTCCCTCATCATCTCCCACCAAACTGGTATTCCCCAATGAACCACAGAAGCAGGATGTACAGAGAGAAATATGCTCATTTATTTATTGACCAATCAACAGGCATTTGCTGGCAGCCTACTGGGTGCCAAGCCTTTCTGCAAAGAAGATATTGGTGATAGGACCAAGGCTTCACCACGGAGTGCCCCAGTGATCCAAGCGTGGGAGTAGAAGGGAATTCCCACACCACGCAGAGTAGGAATCCAGAGCCACTTCCAAGTGGCAGGAATCAGGCTGTGAGAGAAAATGAGATCAGGACTTCAATACAGGAACCAGCCAAGTCATCTCCACATTCTCTCCCCAAGAACTCCCTTGAGATAGAGAAAATAGCAAGGTGCTGATACAGTTGTGTGAGTCTTGGTATCGGGAGGCTGATTTCAAGTCTCTATTTTACTAGAAAACTCTAAGGTTGGAGCATTGAGCAAGATTATCCTCAAAATCCACTGATCTTTTGGGCTTTGACCCTAGACAACATCTTGGAAATAACCTTAATAATACATACTTAGTGCACAGTGCTTTTGACAATGCACTTTCAAGTTCATTATGTCCATTTTACAGATAAGGAAACTGAGACTCAGAGTCACTTGCCCTGGGGCTCTTATTCAGAAGGGCTGGGATATAATCAGAGCCATGAGCCATCCTATGGAAATCCTTGCCCTGAGGCCTGGGGAACAGGGCTCTCGGAAGACAAGGGAGTCAGGCAGAGGCTTTCCTTGGGGTCCAGATCAGGAGTCCCCCTGTTTATATGCCTGGAACTCCAGAGGGTTGAGACTGAGAGAGCTGGAGGGAAGGAGGTCAGCCTGCCCCAGCTCCTCCTTACCTTTCACAGGGAGCAGGCACTCTTTCCCACAAAAGCTCTCGCAGCACTTTAATTCACCCATGCACTGGCTGTCTGTCTCACATCGATTGGGGGGGTTAAGCATCATACATCGGGCGAGGGACACTGGACACATCCCAGGCTTCTCCTCAACTGATGAGAGTAGAGACATGGGTTAGAAACCTTGTACCTTCCATACTAGCCCCCTGCTTCTGGACCCCAGCCCCTGCCCCAGGCCCTGCCCCAGCCTGAGCCTCCCATCCCCATGACCACAACATCCCTCCTGAGGCCGGGATACCCCCTCAAGGTAGGCTCTGGCTCTCTTCTGACATTGGGCCCCCAGTCAATGCAGGTGGCCAGTTGTCCAGTGCTGCATGGCTGGTGGCTCTCTCACCTCCTCACCTGGGTTCAAGATGTTGACAGGATCCAGGCATGTCATTCCGCAAGCATCAGGGCAACATTTCTTCTTCTCTGGACACGGACGGTCAATGCTGCACTTGGGTTTCTCATATTTAAGGCACTGGGCAGGTTTTCTAGGAGGGCAGTCTCCAGCTTTCAAAGCTTTGGAAGAGAAGTTCAAGAGTTTTGGAGGAGGCTGGGTGTTGAGTAACCATCACGGCTCCTGGACAAAGCACCGCTTTCCAGGAGTGACCCTCACTCAGGGGACCATCCACAAAGTCCAAAGTGAAGTCCCTGTCTGATCTCCATGAAGAGTGACAGGCTTGATGAAATCACACACGTGGTCAGGAGGAAGGCATAGGCTTCCCAGCCAAGGTTTCTTTCCCCAGGGAGAAGCAAGGCTCCACACAGGCAGAGAGGCAGGCTGAGCATGATGGAGATGGAGGGAAATAAACAGAGATAAATAGAACCGACAGAGCAGGTGAAGAGCTAGAGCCAAAGACAGGAAAACAGAGATTAACAGGAAGAACGAGCAAGAGTCAGACTGATGATTGGAGAGCCACTGACCGGGAAATGAGGCAGAGAGAAAGAGAGAGAGAGGAATAAGAATAGAAAGGCAGTGAGACCTGGGCTGACAGATGGCTGAGGAAAAGAAGAATTTCCAGATGCTCAGAAGCTTGCACAGAGACCTTGGAGCCCAGGTGGACATGAACGCACCCCCAGGGACGTCTCCTGAAACTAAGCTGAGAGATTACAGTCTAGAGAAGGGGCCATCCCCACACCACTACGAGCCCCCGTCTCTGACCCTGCAGCCAGGATCATACCAGGGTGACTCCAACTCACCATTTCCAGCACCTTCCACAGCCCAAGGTGCCAGGGTTCCCAGGGCAAGAAGCACGAAGGGGAAGAGGCCACTGAACGTCATGGTGAGGGCAGGGGTGGCTCTGCTGGCCCAGCCGCCCCCATTTATACCTTCCCTAGTGGGCGTGGCCTCACGAGCATTTCCTCAGCCCCTCCCAGCTTCAATGGCATAAGCAGGAAGCTTGGCCAGAGACCGGGAAGCTTGATACCGGTCATTCCTGTCCCGAGCAAGACTGCTAGGCCAACAGAGTAAAGGCCAGAGAAGAAATAGGAGAGGCTGGCCTGGGAGATGTCGCCAGGCTGATAAGGAAACCATTTCAGGTGTCCATCTGAGCCCTGAGCATTGTAGGGGCCCCAGGCTCCTTAGCCTTGTTAGTGGAGATGGAGGGTAAAAGGTCAAATGCAAAAATGCTATTTAGACCTGGATTCTGAGCTGAGACGTTGGGCAATGCACCCCTAGTTCTCCCACTCCTGGGGGCACTATGCCAGGCCCTGGGGATACAAAAGTTAATGGGACACATAGATACGACACAGTATAGTAGGCAAATGTATGAATGTTAGTGTTAACCTAATCTGGATTCAAACCTTGGTACCACAACTTACTATCCGTTGCCTTGGACAAGTCAGAAGACCTTCTAGTGTCAGTTTCTGTAAAGTAGGCACCATTATACTTTTTCTTCTTATAATTGTCATGGGGAGTAAATGCGCCTCTGGCCCAAGGCCTGGGATATAGTAGACACTTAAAAATGGTAGCCATTATAATTATTACTATTATTACAAAATAGTCTCTCTCTGATACACACACATGCATGTGCGCACACACGTACGCACACACACATACCTCGGAGCTCACAGAAAGTTATCAAGTCTTCTGCTAACTCGGATTATTTATTATATCTCAAAAGATCCTTAGTCCAACTGACTGTCTGTGGAATCTACTTCTGTATTCTAGAGCCTCTGTCACTGACTCGCTGTGTGACCTTGGTCAGAACACTGCAGCTCTCTGAACCTCCATTTCCCCATCTGTACAATGCGAGGGTTAAACTACAAGGTGAAGTTCTCGTCTAGAACCGGTACTGCCATGACTCAACAGCCCCACACTGCTGACTGAGGGCACTGCTGGTAGAGGCTCTCCTATTCTCAAGGCCCGTCTTGGCTATGCTCACAAGATCGCATCTTAGGATCGAGGGTAGGAAGAGAGACCAGGAGAAAGACTGGCGGCTGTTCCTTCGTAAGGAAGGCTACCATACCTCATCTCTGGTTCTTGGCTGTAAGACTCAGTCATGCCTCTGGTTGGCTCTCTCTCTTTCACTCACAAATACCATCTGCCTTGCCATCCACTGGTGTTGGGGGAAGGGAGAGGAGGGGGTCTCCGACATCCTTTATGTCAGATGCTCTTCTCTGGGCCTCGCTTTACCTACTTCTTTGCCTATTGATTTGTTTCCACACAAGACTATGATTTCTTTGAGGGAGAAAACATGTCATTAAAAGATCACAGACTTTGGAATTACACTGACCAGGTTTCAAATCCTGACTCTCCCACTTAATGAATGTTCCTTTACATAATTATAGCTAATAATTACTGAGAAGTTGTTGCGTTTCAGGCACAGTGCTGAATACTTTGCGTGATTTAGCACCCTTAAACCTCATGACAATATATTAAGTAGGTAATATGAGTCATCCAGTTTGGTCTGCCATACAAGGTGAGAGGAAGAGGAAATACTTTGGGCGAGGTTGGTCAGGGACGGCCTAAGAACTGATGCTTCTTGCCTAGACATGGAAAGCAGCCAAGAGGTACCGTGAGTCCAAAGCTGGGGTCAGAGGAGAGAACCCCTGTGAGGTTCACATCTATAGTTTGTGCAATTCATGTGCCAGATGTGCAGATGATAAATGAGCTCCAGAGAGCAACATCAGTTAGCATAAACTTTGTGTTTGGTGTCATCTTTTAAAAAGGATAGGGAAATCTCTGGTGGTCCAGTGGTTAGGACTTGACACGTTCACTGCCGTGGCCCGGGTTCAATCCTTGATGGGGGAACTGAGATCCCGAAAGCTGTGTGGCGTGGCCAAAAAAAAAAAAAAAAGGATATATATTTTTATTTTGATGGAGTCAGTTTTACCCATCTGTCCCTCTATGGATTGTACTTTTTTTTTGGCGGTACGCGGGCCTCTCACTGTTGGGGCCTCTCCTGCTGCGTAGCCCAGGCTCCGGACGCGCAGGCTCACCGGCCACGGCTCACGGGCCCAGCCGCTCCGCGACCTGTGGGATCTTCCCGGACCGGGACACGAACCCGTGTCCCCTGCATCAGCAGGCGGACTCTCAACCACTGCGCCACCAGGGAAGCCCTGGATTGTACTTTTTACGTCAAACCATCCTTTCACAATCCTTTCCATTTTGTTTAAATATTTTCACAAGTTTTGTCTTCCACATTCAAGTCATGAATCCATCTGGAATTTACTTATTGTGAATGGTTTGAATTAGGGATCTTGTTTCCATTTTTTCCTATTATGGAATGCCAGTTGTTCCCCCGTATCATTGATCCCTTATTAATTTATAAAACCACATCTATTTTGTACCAAGTTTTTGTATATAGATGGATGTGTTTCTGTGTTCGATTATTACTCAATTTATTTATTCTCAAACCAGTCTTCCTTGGTACTCTTTTCATTAACATCTCCGTTTTACATACCTTGTTGCTTTGCAGCACAAGTCTTTTCTGTTTTACTTATTCAGAATTGTTTTGTCTATTCTTGCACTTTTCCTCTACTACATAAATTTTAGGATCAATTTCTCAAGGTCCTCAAAAAAATCTGTTGAGATTTTTATTACAATTACATCAAAGCTATAAATTACTGAGTGGAACCAAAATATTTACCATATTAAGTCTTCACAAATAAAAAAATGAGCATTACTCTATTCAAGTCCTCTTCAAGTCATATAATAAATTTTAATTTTTTCGTGTAATTCTTGCAAACGTTTTCTTGGTTTATTTTTAGGTAGTAATAAAATTCATGACTATTGTGAATAGGAGCTTTTTCTCTCTTTAATTTATTTGATAGTTTTTGGTGTGTAAGCATGCAACTGGTTTTTTGTATATTGACTTTTTAAAATAAATTTATTTATTTTATATTTGCCTGCTTTGAATCTTTGTTGCTGGGCGCGGGCTTTCTCTAGCTGCGGCGAGAAGGGGCTTCTCTTCCTTGTGGTGAGCGGGCTTCTCATTGCGGTGGCTTCTCTTGTTGCAGAGCACGGGCTCTAGGTGCATGGGCTTCAGTAGTTGTGGCACATGGGCTTCAGTAGTTGTGGCACATGGGCTCAGTAGTGTGGCTCCCGACTCTAGAGCGCAGGCACAGTAGTTGTGGTGCATGGGCTTAGTTGCTCCATGGGATGTGGGATCTTCCCGGACCAGGGATTGTAGCTGTGTCCCCTGCATTGGCAGGTGGATTCTTAACCACTGCACCACCAGGAAAGCCCTGTATACTGACTTCTGTAATTGCAAACTCAATATATTTTCTCATGAATTTTAATAGTTTACCCATGACTCTCTTGAATTTCATCTGAAGACATTCATATTATCTGTACGCATTAACCATTCTATCTCTTCTTTTCCCACCCCTATTCCTCTTTATTTTTATGTCCAGTTTTATTGCACTGGCCTACGATCACTAATTTGATATTGAATCAGAGTGATGATAGAGGGTAGTCTGGCCTTGTACTGACTTTAAGGATGCTGCTTCTAGAGTTTCACCACTGAGTATAATACTTGCTGTAGGGGCTTCCCTGGTGTTGCAGTGGTTGAGAATCTGCCTGCCAATGCAGGGGACACGGGTTCAAGCCCTGGTCTGGGAAGATCCCACATGCTGCGGAGCAACTAGGCCCGTGAGCCACAACTACTGAGCCTGCGCGTCTGGAGCCTGTGCTCCGCAACAAGAAAGGCCGCGATAGTGAGAGGCCCACGCACCGCGATGAAGAGTGGTCCCCACTTGCCACAACTAGAGAAAGCCCTCGCACAGAAACGAAGACCCAACACAGCCATAAATAAATAAAATTTAAAAAAACTTGCTGTAGGTATTTGTAAATACCCTTCATCAGGTGAAGAATATTCTCTTTTGTTCCTAGTATAGTGTGTATTTTTATCATGAATGAACATAGAACAATATGGAATGGTTTTTATGAATCAATTTAAAGATTCATTTGAATTCTTTTCTTTAAACTTTTAATTTACTTAATCACATTCATAATTTCTGGTTCTTGAACTACCCTTAAACTCCTGGGATGTACCCTATCTATTTACAAGGTTTTTTAGCACACTGAGAAATTCAACATCCTAACATGTTATTATACTTGTCACTTTGAAATAATGTCAAGCGTATAGAAAAAATTGGAAGAATAGTACAAAGAATTATCATCATATTCCTTTCACCCAGATACACTAAATGTTAATATTTTGCCATGTTTATCATTCTCTTTCTTCCACGTGTGTGTGAAAGATAATGGTTTATTCTGACCATTGAGAGCAAGTTGTGTACATCACACTCATTTATACATGAGGACTTCAGTGTATATTCCCTATGAATAGCTTGATTACATCATTACAGTAGCCCTGATGGAACGTTTAAATATTGGGGTACAGATCACTTTACTACAACTTTTCCTTTGCTTTTATTTCATTCCTATAATTACAGTTAGGACACCATATTAACCTGTTTTTGATATTGCATGTATAGCAAAGTTATATTAGATATTAATTTCATTTCAGATTAGTAAAGGGGATATGACTAAAATAAAAAAGGCACCAGGGTCTATAGGGTTGAAAATCACTTATATAGATAATCTCCAGAGAGCCTCTGACTATGGTACAAGTTTGGGCTTGACTCTAGGCAGCAACCCCTCATCCATTTCCAACCCACCCAGAGATCCCAGCAAACAGGGAGGATCCCAGCAAACCATTTCAGAGATGGAGAGCAGAGGCTGTAGCAGAATCTATGGATTGACTTACTAACATCCGTTTCAACCTTTTTGCTGTATCTCTATATAGACCAGAGGCTGGAAAATTAAAAGCTACAATTCTGAGACCAACACTCCGCCCCACTCCCAGAGCTGTGGTTCTGGATG